ATAGATTAAAAATATGCATAAGTGGTTTGTTTGTTTACTACACAGTCTTATGAATTTGTTTGATATACCATCATATCCACAGGAACCCTTATTCTTTAGTAATGAAATTACACCAGAAATTTCTGACGATGTAATTGGAATATTAACTATGTCAGGAAATTTGTCGGTAAGACTACTTATTGTTGCTGACCACTCATCCTCAGTTTTTGGATATTGACTAATTAATTTCTCCACTGAATCTATAAAACAGGTATTAAAAAACCCAGCTGCTTTATTAATTTCAATTTTGATTTCACCATTTTTGAACTCCGCCGAAGCAGCTTTCCTTTTTGCTACACAACCAATTTCATTATTTATAATTTCCCAAGACAATCAGATTTATTTGTGGATTTCGTTAACATTTCATTGTAGTACATCTCTTTAGCTTTTCTAATGACTCTTCTTAATATCGAACAGTAACAAGAGTAATATTCTCTTATTTTAATATGATGAGTTACTCTACTTATTATGTAGAGGTATCTTTTACATCTACACGACACTTTTACTCCACCAGTTATCCACCGATTTTTATGCCCCATATCCATCACAAATTGCATGGGGAAGCATGATTAAAAAATGACTATAAATGTGTTTAAGAATGCATTAAAACTTGCATGTACCTCCACACTACTAAGGGTCATATCCCAGGTTTCATTTTGTAGTGCCTCCGTAAACATCATGACTCCAGTCTTAGTTATTAACCTGTTTTTAACAGGTGTATTCTTATTCCGCTGAGTTCCACACACATTATTTATCACCAGATATTGTGCATCATGATCTGATAGATCATTTTTTACAGAGTGCACATGATATGTATTTACTCTACTACAGTGCAAAAAAATATTATCAATGGCCATGCAGGATTCTTTTACAATCCTAGTTGGGAAGTCCACAATATAAAACAAGGCATACGTTTGCATCAATGAACTTATTTGATGCACATTTCTCAAGTCACATAAAAAATTTATATCATGGTATAACTCATGATCTGAAACATGCTCATATTTCCAAATTCTATACTAAACACAAAAATGTGGGCAAAATAATAAATTAACTGAATAAATATAATGAACCTTGAAAGTCTGATATATATCTATATGTAAAAGTAAAGTAAAGCTATCCCTGTAACAGGCCGTGAAGGCCCATAGGGTTGTGATATGTTCAAAAGTTCAATGCTGAACACAATAATATGGCCAACATAATGCAATGACTGAAGGGATATACCCATAACAACAAAGTAGATGAATATAATATGTAGACACTAATAAGTAAAACTTCCTACCTAGGAAGTAGTTAATAAATTTAATTACAGAATATGTCCTGACATTGATTCTGCTCCTCGGTGTTTCACGCTGAATCAGGTAACCTGAAGATTGCAAGTCAATTATAAAGTAATGCCACTTCACTCTTACCCAGACACATAAACAAGAGCTATCTGAGTCAGAAAAGAATTTCCCACACAATTCTTGACTGAAATATAATTATTTTCAGATACAGGGCAGAATGAACTCTGATCATCTTCTGACAACTAGTTCCATACAGACCTCTGATAGCAAGTGCACTGATAATGTTAGTCTTCAGGGCATCTACAAACTCTCCCACAGTTGGATTATTGTTCAAACCATACTACAAACCAACAGCTTGAAATGTGTTCACAAGGTGATGATCAAACTGCTGTTGCCAGGTATTCACCACAGCACCCTCATGAAAGAACATTAAAAAGGAAATTAGTGGGCTTCCTTACATGATGGACTTCTTCAGATTTGAAAATAACACACTTTACTTTAAAGGGACTGCCATTTTAAAGATTTTGTACATTTGATTAAATTATTCCTAATAGCAAAATCTTTACCACCTTATTCTCTTATAAATCGTATTACTGACAGTGTGATCTGCTTTTCAAACATTTGACATTTCCTACATAACTTGTGTATTGATAGGAAGAAGAATAGAAGAAGAATATATGACGGGTAGGCCTTCTCGGCCCTTGCACCGCGACCTTAGGTCTATTGTGCTTCCCCCTTTTTAATTATTCCCTCAGCAACCCCACGCTTCAGGATGAAGCACAGGATCTTGGACGTGGGGGTGTCAAAATAGTCACTTGGTTCCATGAAGTACTGGCCCAAGTGACGTAATCTTAAATAAGCTAATGCCTCACATTCACACAGGACGTGTGTGGCTGTTTCATCTTCTATTTGACACCTCTCACAGGTGGGGCTATCACTCAGTCCCAGTTTGAACAGGTGTCATTGAGGTGACAGTGTCCTGTAAGTAGTCCTACCACACATAGTAGCTGGTTCCTCTTGAGCTTCAACAGTTCCTTCGCTCTTTTAGCAGAAGGTCCTCGTATGAGTCCCTTTGCTTGCCTGAGTCCAGTTAAGGATTCCCAGTATTCCTTGTGTTTCATGTTAGTCCAGTCCCTGATTGCCTGTTTGGCAACTCCTAGAGTGATGCCACAGGCTGGTTCAGGTCCTATGAACGGGTGTTCAGCTCCAGATTTAGCTAATTGGTCTGCTGCTTCATTTCCAGCAATACCCTCATGCCCCGGCACCCATATCAGTTGTACCCTGTTATGTTTGGCCAGTTCCATGAGGGTTTGGTGGCAATTCCAGACCAATTTTGAATTAATCTGGTGTTTGTCAAGCACTTTAAGTGCAGCTTGGCTGTCAGCTAGTTCCTATCTAAATTCTCCATAATACATGCTTTAATGGCATATACTTCTGCCTGGAATACTGTCCTGTACCGCCCAAGGCGGAAACTAAGTTTCCGCCTCGTGCCATGGCAGTACACACCAGCTCCAGTGCCCTTATTTTTATTGGAACCATCTGTATACCAGATCAGTCCCCTTTTCTGTCGGGCTGAAACTCGTTTTCCCATTCACTCCTGTCAGGAAATCTGACCGTGAAGGGTTTTTCATATACATGTCTCAGTATCATGTTGTCAGACCCCATTTGCAATATGAGTTCTTTTTTCATGTCCTGAGTCATGTCTGCATGACCGAAACCATCAGATCTAGGTTTCCATTGTCCACTGCACTGAAGACGGTAATTTCCTGCCTTGGCCTCCGCATCCAAATGTATATGCAGTTGGGGAGTCCAAGAAGTATTTCCAGTGCAGCTGTTGGAGATGTTCGAAATTCTCCTGTTATACCTAAGCAAGCCAACCTTTACAATTTGCCAAGTTCTGTCTTGCTAGTCTTGAATTTAACTCTGGGCCACCACACTGTGACACCATAAGTAATTATGGGTCTCACAACCACAGTGTATACCCATTGTACTACGTGTGGCTATAGTCCCCAAGTTTTACCAACATGCTTTCGCATGTCCAAAAAGCCTTATAGGCTTTGTTAATAACTGTGTCCAGCTGCTTTTTTTCATGTCAGTCCCTTGTCTAATACTAGTCCAAGGTGCTTGACATCGCTGGAGATGTGGATTGTCTTACTGAAGAGAGTCGGTTCCTTAAGACCCTTTATATTTCTCTTCCTAGTAAACGGTATAATTACAGTCTTGTTGGGATTGATGGAAAGACCTGTTCTTTCACACCATCGTTGGACCATGTACAGAGCTGATTGAAGACGCTTTATATGGTTGAAAGGAATTTTCGATTTATGAGGATTGCTATGTCATCAGCATATCCTACTGTATAATACCCATCATAATTAAGTCCCCACAGGAGATCGTCGACGACCAGACTCCACAGCAGAGGAGAAAGTACGCCCCCCTGCGGACATCCCCTAGCCATGGACGCTCCCAGGGTCTCTCCCGATAATGTAGCAGCTATGATTCTGCTTTCCAGCATAGCATTGATCCATCTGCATATTGCAGGCTCTATGCCATGCCTTCCAGCAGCTTGTTTGATTACATCAAATGAGGTTCTATCAAAGGCTCCCTCTATATCAAGGAATGCTCCCAAGGCAATATCCGCGTGTTCAGTTTCACTTTCTATGCGTGTTACCACATTGTGTAGTGCACTTTCCGTAGATTTACCCGTTTGGTAGGCATTTTGGTTTCGGTATAGAGGATAAGTCCTCAATGCCCCGTCCACAACATGCCAATCTACTAGTTTCTCCATCGTTTTCAAAAGGAAAGACGACAGGCTGATAGGACGATAAGCCTTAGCCTCGGTATAATCAAGTTTCCCGGGCTTTGGAATAAACGTCACCTTAACTTGCCTCCAGGATGTGGGGATGAAACCATATGCCAAGCAGGCTCTATATATGCGGCATAGGTGTGGAACTAAAAGTTCCGCCCCATGCTGCAAAAGTGCCGGTACAATTCCATCTGTTCCTACTGATTTAAATGGTTTAAAAGTGTTCAGTGTCCATCTTTGATTGGTTAATTATGACTTTGGCCAGGGTCCAGTCAGCCCTGTTAATCTTGCTTAGGCAAGTGTCCAGGTTCTGCTGACCCTGCCCATCGTCCAAACTGTCAATTTTGAATCGGGAAAGTGGACCCTGAATAATTCATTCAGCTTTTCCCTTCCTGTTTGTGTATGCTGTCCGTTAGGCAGCTTAATTTTGCTGACCTTGTTGGTTGCCTGTTTCGCCATGATTCTCATGAGTCTGGCACCGCCCGGTACATCATTGATCTCCTGGCAGTGTCTCCTCCATGAGGATCGCTTGGCTTCCCTTATTTCTTTATTGTAACAGGTAATGGCTTCCTTATAGGTGTCCCATAGCCCTGTTCTTCTAGCTGTATTAAACAGCTTTCTTGTTTAGGTTCTAAGACCACTCAGCTGTTTAGTCCACCAAGGCACTCTCCTTGGTCCGCGAATGGTCCTAGCTGGACAATTCTAACTAAAGGACGAGATAATAGCCTGTTGCAACTGGTCAACAGACTGATCAACATCCTTTATTGTGCGTATATTACGCGAAATGGCCTCTAGATTTACCTTTAGGTCGTCTTTATAAGACTCCCAATTGGTTCTCTTAGGATTCCTATAAGTAGTTCGATCTACTGTGATGTTACTTATTTTAAAGCATATATATCTGTGATCTGATAGAGAGGCTCATCAGATACATGCCAGCTACTTACCAGGTTCCCCTGTATTATTTGTCCCTAGTGTCAAATCAATAACCTCCTTCCTATTGCAAACCACAAAGGTAGGTTCGTTACCATGGTTTAGAATATTCAGGTTCGAACTCACCAGAAATTCCATAAGGCTCTCTCCCCTTGGGTTAGTGCTGGTGCTCCTACACAAGATGTGGTGTGCATTGGCATCACACCCAATGATGAGTTGCTTTTTCCTGCTAAAGCAGTAGTCTGTGAAGTTCCTCATTTCCTTAGTTGGTCGTGGTCCATCCGTGTCACATGGAAGGTAGACTGAAGCAACTATCAGCCCCCTGCTGCCTTCTCGATATGGATATGTTATCCTTACCGCTGCTGTAGCTGTATCCCTTGAACAGAGCTTCAGCAAAGGCAAGGCATTAACACGATTCCTGATATAAACACAAGAGCTTGCATTATTACTGGGTACAACAGAGTAAACTGTTCCCCCTGTATTATTTAAGCCCCTTATTCGACCCTTGTATAACCAAGGTTCCTGAATAAGTGCTATGTCAGCCTTACCCTCAGCTAGATGTTGACACAGAGCTGCCGTGGCAGCTTTGCTGTGTTGTAGGTTGATTTGGAGAAATATCATGATCTCTTACAATTGAGGAGGTATCAATTTCCATCTTATGTCCCTCCTCTTTCTCGGACTGGGTTCCATGTGAAGAGGTCCCCTGATCCATTTTACTTCGGTCATCCGGGGGCTGGGTACCTTATCCCCTTCCTCCTCAGAGACTGAGTTAGAAGATACAGTGTCTGTCACGGGTTCTGTCCGGCGCTGAACTTCAGGATCGTCCAGCACCTTAGCAGTCCCCTGTGAGAGTCCTGTAACTATTTTATAACCGGTCCTCTGTATAATAGTATAGGAGTCCCGGTCTATGAATAGAATAGGCCTTTGGCCTTTTGACTCAGATTGCTTGTCTAATACCCTCAGTTCTCTGTATGGAGTCCCGGATTAAGGTCTGCAATCCATTTCAGCAGCTTTTTCTGGTTTTGGGCAATTTTGTCCCAAGTCTGGAGAGCTACTTTAACAGGCTTAGGCAGGTTCCTGGTATCGGTAGTCTTCAGCCCGGTTCCTGATTTTGGCCTGTGGTTGTCAATGGCTCTGATGAGCCACTGACCAGACTGTTGGTTGGCACATATACGAGTATAAATAAGTGCTCCTCCCAGCAGTTTGTAGGATTTCAGGTGTGGTAGTTCTTCCTTTGGAGTCCTGCGGAACACCTTGCCAAATACTTCCAGAATGGAATTTTGGTCGTTTTCGGTAAGCTTATCCTCAGGGTGTCTCCCTGAAGATATTTACCTTTACATTGCTCAGAGCCTCCTTGTAAGTCCCTGGTCCTTTACAGTCCCTGGGCTTTTTCAGAGTTCTGGCCGTTTCCGTAGGATTACTGCACTCCGACCTTGGCCTCTTAAAGGTTCTGGTGGGGGTTTCTCCCTGTTTGGACGAGCTTGCATTCCCTGGTTGCTGACCGCTCTCAGTGTCTGCCTTGCAATTCCAAGCTTTTGCCCGTTGTAACTGCCATTTAGCGGCCCCCGACGAGGGTTTCTTCGCCAAACGGGGTCCACCTATTCCAGATCCTAGGTGTCCCAGTCTTTCCCCTGCTACAGGTATGTTGGAAGTACTGACTCCCTTCAATGGTATGCCAGTACTAACGACTCCCAAGAGAGCAGTTTTTGGTTTTGCCTCTGGTAGGTTTTGAATCACTGGTTAATCCCTGCCTTTGGCTGAAATTACAACAGTAGGTTCGCCGGCTGCTTCTGAGCCCCTTAATGGTTCACCAGAGCTTCCATCACCCTGCTGAAGCATTTCTCGTAGGGATCCCCTTAAAGGGGGGGGTCCCTCTTAAGTTTAAGGTCTTTACGACTGGTTTTCTTGTTAGGCCCCTTTTTCAGTTTGGTCCCACGAGAATTGGGGATTTAAAAGGTCACGACCTGCAGAGTCCTATACGGGTGGAAGGCATAAATACAACGGGGTGCTGCCTGGTGCCCTGAGGGGATCGTTCGTGACGCCGGCCAATAACCTCCCCAGTGCCATGCAACCCTGGGCACGATGCCTCACACCTTGGCTTAGGAGGTTGGTCCTTATTCAAGTATTACCCTCACAAGCCTCCAGGACCAAGAGTGCATGTTCAGGGGGAGGGGGGTATCCCAGATGATAAATGGGAGTGCGATACTAATTGTCATGAGTTTGCGGCCAGGGCATCCTACACGAGATTATCGCCCCTGGAGGTTGCTTCAGAGCTCCCCCATTCCAACCCCTCCACATGGGTTGGTCGAAACCATTTTAGAGTGTTGAGCCCTAAGGCTTGCAGCACCTTATAGGTACTCTAGGGAGACAACTGAAATAGCCGTAGCTACCCCTATAGGAGTGCTTCCCGCATTCGTCCCGGGTACATCGTAATGAAACCCAGGAGTCATTATGCCGCCGCGTGGGAGGCTCTGGTCAAATGACCATTGCCCTTTATGGAAACTCGGCCGCAACCCCGGAGGTTCATGCTAATGCAGACCCTCCAGGACTGTCGTTGCCCAGCAGGACCACGAAGAGATATTCCAAAGCTGTGTCTCAACACATCTCTGGTCTGTGATACGTCTCCGCCGAAGACACAGCCACCCTGCCGTATTGATAGGATTATATTGTAGCATCCTGTTGCACTCTTCAATTTTATTACAAATATTATTTTACAGTCTTATGTGAAACTATTTATTAACTTTAAGTTTAAAATTTAAAACTTAACCTTTAAACGCCGGACTTCGAAATAGTGGTAAGCTTGAGCTGGCCGGAGTTTATTTAAATGCCCGCTGCTGGTGCGCGTTTAAATGCCCGTTGCTACTCTGCGTTTAAATGTCCGTTCCTGTTAGTGCGCCTAAACAATTTTAAGCTTTGTGTTTAAAAATGCAGTATCTAACTCAATTTTTATGATAAATGGATGGAATTAATTTTGTTTGTATCAGCAAAGAACATACTGTCGCATATTATAACGGAAGATTTGAAATTTTTTATACAAATTATACTCCATTTTCAATTTTTTGTTTTAATTTTGAAGCGTACTGCAAAAAATGGTTTCCCAGTTCTTCACAGATTTGTTCTGCATTATAAATTCATTTCTGTTTGTAACACTTGAATTTTAGGAGTCCCTGGTGTCATAAACCGATGGAAGCAATAAAATCATTTGGTCTTTTGCTAGCCCTGCTTACACTCTTCGGATTTTCGAATCTTTTTACTGAAGGACAGAAGAATGAAAGCATGGCTATTCAAGAGAAAGCTAGAGGGGTCCCTTCTTCAGCGCTAAGACCTCCCGTTAGAGCTGCAAAAGTTTATGGCCCCTTCTATTTGAATGAGCAGACAGCTGCATCATGGCTAAGATACAGAGTGTGATCTGTTTTCTGTGCGTTCGTAGTGAAATCGAATACTGTAATATAATTACAGCCTATATATACATCAAGCAGGTAACAACAAAAAAGGTATGTACATCGAATTTTACAATATATTTTTAATATGCCTATCTGCAGAATCTGCAATAAAATTACTGGATCGTGGATAAGTTTTGGCATAACTCATACATATATTTTTATTTGCTGTTGTTAATTTAGGTATCACTTTAATTCCTCTATTAGGGTTTTACTCAAGTCTGTCTGGTAATTACTGCATTTAAAAATAAATAGTTAGGACTGTGAGTGTGCTTCCACTAGTGGCGTGTGCGCGCGCTTCCACTAGCGGAGTTTAAATGCCTGACTGGCACAAACAGGGCACTTTGGCCATGACCTCTCATGGCTGGCACAAACGGGGCACTTCAGCACTTAAAGGTTAAAAAGTTGCACATGACAGTAAAATAAGATTTATAATAAAATTGTATATCATGTAGTTTCATAAATAATGAATGATGATGACAGTGACATTTGTTTGATCACAACTGGGTTCTTGGGACAATTACTTCAAAAATTATCTCTCATTATTCTCGCTAGCCACTTCTTTCATAACAGAACATAATTCACATAAGCAGTGGTCCTTACCTGTAGCCAATACTGTGTTGTGGCTTGCTGCAATGATTGATATGCCTGAGTTCCACATCAGAAGTATTTATATTTACAGGGCTTATGAGAAACGAGGTTTCTTTCACTGCAAACGTTGGTGGCTACTTGGTAAAGGTTGCACTGCAAACATTTTAAAGGAAGTGGAAGGATATTCCAACTTTTCCTGCCCATACCTCAGCCCTGTAAAAGTACAACAGATAGTCTCAAAACCTAGAAATAATTCTTCAGTAAACATTACAAACTTGGTACACATTCTAAATTTTGGGATTATCTTGAATACATTGAACACAGACACACAATAAACTTAATTTATTCATTGGATTAACCAACACGTAATAAAGTATATACACCATGCATTAAAACAGACATACCTTGCCGGATCCCTTGGAAAGCTGAAGAATTTGATGCCTTGCTTGCTGGATGACAAGCACCCAGCAGCAGCACATGTTTTCGTTTTCATGTTTATCCTGCAAGAAGCAATAAAAAAATTATAACACAATCACGGTACTCTTAGAACTCCTTCACATTCAACAGACAATCTTTGTGATAAACTGAAAGTTGCAGAACATGTCATAAAACAAATATCGTTTAGATGACAGTTCATGATAACCTAAAAAATTTTAAGCTTGAAAGAATTTATGTGTTTCTAACTTCATTTCTGGTAGTAAGCATAACATTCATATACACAAATAATATGTTTAATATGGAGCTGTAACTTCGTTCGCAAATGTCTACTTTCGTTTTGCAACCACATCAAATCAAAATTCATACTTACCAATTTACATATAATGCACCACCACAACCGCATATAATTGTGGGTATTCAAGTTGGTTTGTTTAGGCTCTCTGATTGGTCGAGACCTGCGTGAGGTTTCTTCCGCCGCTCTTAGAGGCAGTAGTTACCGTGTTTCCTTTTCCCCTATTCCAGTTGCCACCCCCTGGTTGTGGGTTCGAAGGTTTTGCGATTTCTTATGCTTTGTTATTTGAAAAGTAAAAAACTGAAAAATTATGTGGTCTTAAGTATAAATAGAAACATATAGTGGTGACACATGTTTTTGCAGGTAAGGTAGATCTCACATGTGTTCCAACAATTTGTATGCCCACGTGCTTCAGCAGCAAAGATTGAAAATGCACGAGTGTGTACCACAATATCACTGCGTAACGTGAAAGTATAGAGTATAGAATGCTGTATATTCTTGTCCCTTATTCAAAGAACACGAAGTTCGGTTCAAGCCTGACGAGCACAGTGGTGGCGACAAGCGTAGTGTATAGTGTTGTGGGGTCAGTCTTAGCAAAAAGTTGGCATATATCTAGGCCTCATTATCTCTGTAAAATTCCCGCATCCTGAAATAAATTGATACCATACACTGTTGGGCATGCTTTTTAGATGGTGAAGTGACTAAGAATCAAAATGTTGGCCCCTCTTTCCAAAGTCAATTCTTCTCGGATAGATCAGTCACACCCATCTTTGCCTTATCTGAACTTCTTTCTATCTTTCTAGTAGAAGAAACTAAGAATATGTAAGCTTCAGTGGGAGTGAGGGAGGGAACATGTGGTGAAAAAAAGAGTGTTTGAAGGGAAAGAGTTGAAGCAAGGTTTTGTTAGTTTGTAATCTGACTTCACAGAGTGAATTTGTTACATAGGCATATTTATGTGTTTGGTAGTTTGAAGGAAATTATGTGAGCATCTCTCAGTCAGTGAAGCAATGGGACTGTGGGCTGCATGGAAAGGGTTTGATTCTTGACAGAGGGAACGAGATTTTTATTTTCTCCACAGCATCCAGATTGGCTCTTCCTGTCCGATGGGTACTGGGGGACTCTCTTATGCCAGTGGGTAAAGTGGCCGATGTGTGAAGCCGATACCAACCTCCATCTATTGCCAAGGTTGAGAATGGTGAAGCTATACACCTCCATTCCGCCATATATCTTCATGGTGTGGTGGTTAATTAATGAAGCACACGGACAGTTATGCTGTTTTGATCTTGATAGTTTGAATCCTGTTGTGTGTCTCACATAAGATATAAAGAATACAAGACTATACCGTCTACGCAACACTACTCTGTATTTGAAAACAAAGAAGACACTACTGCATCAACATTTTATTTATTAAAGCTTTTTATGGACACGACATGTTTCAGCCGGTATATCAGGCCATCATCAGGCGTAGAGTGTTTGGCTTTAAGCTGCTGAACTGCATCCAGTTATCATTCAGTTCACTAAATAAGGATCCTTATTGTGTTTTTGGACTTAATTCAAATACATAAATATACGAGGGGGTACCCAAAAGAAACCGAACTTATTTTATGTTTAACTTATTTATTCAAATTTTAAGCACAAACCTTCAATCCCCTTCAAAGTACTCTCCACTTACTCTAATATACTTGTCTAGTCTTTGATTCCATTTTTCAAAACATTGTCTAAATTCATCTTTTGAGATGCTTGACAGCGCCTCCGTCGTTTTTTTCCTTCGCCTCAGCAACGTCATCAAAACGCTGAAAAAAGGTTTTGATCATTTCGGGACTCCTCTTTCAAAGCACAGCATGCTTCCACGCGACCTTGTTTTTGTTCAGCAGTCAGCAGTCATGGCACGAATTTCGCAGCCACCCTTTTCATTCCCAAATCTTCTGTCAACATTCGCTGAACTGAGCTCCAAGTCACTCCCGACAGCTCCACAATTTCTTCAATGGTCCGTCGTCGATCTTCCTTGATGATTTCACGAATTTTTTCAACATTTTCATGTGTTCGGGCCATTGCAAAAACGACGGTCACACAAAACAGTTGTCACTATAAACTCTGCCGAAACTAGTCCTTACCTTCTGAAGCAACGGTAGTTGCCTTATCGACTCAGGAATGTTAGCTCTATGCGCTCATAGCGGCAAAACGCGGTACTACAAAAGCTCTGCCCACAAAAAAAAATAGTTTGGTTTCTTTTGGGTACCCCCCATCGTACATAAAATAAGTCTTGGTCAAAATTGTAACTGATTGTACGTAAATAACACAAAGAAAGTTATAACCTAAAAGAGTTAAAGTTGAAAACATGAGAAATTAAAGAACAAGATGCTGAAGATTAAGATGGTAATAAAAGTTAAAAAGTGTGTATTAATGGTAGGACTCTGTGACCGCTATGTGTTGACTTATATTTGCCAGTGGAATGGACTATACCATAGGGCACCCACGTAACGGAATCTCCTCCTGTGGGGTAGGTCATTGCAGGACCTTAATACTGTCTTGAACTTAAGCTTGAACTTCAGTGACGTTATGTGCATTAAGTTCTATTCTTGTGAGTGGAATACATGCAGGCTGCGCACTATGTTGGTGTTATTGCTATGATGTAGCGGTACAGTCTAACCTACTTGTAGCTTAGGAGGAGCTTAGTAGCTACAGTAGTACAGAGTGTTGTGTAGATGGTATATTCTTGTATGTTTCGTATCTTACTTTATTCATGTTCAGTTTCAGTGATCCCAAGTCAGTATCAAAACAGTGACTTCCTCCTCTGGCAATTGAATGTCGTTATTCTAGTAAATAACAGATTGATGCAAAGAGTAACAAATTAATGACATGTAAAAAAAAACGAAAAAACAAAAATAAGTAAGTTCATGGCAGAATTTTAAGGAGTTAAGTAGAACTTGCCAGGGGCACACATTCAGATGTTGTGCAACAGTGTGATCAGTACAGTGAAATATGTATTTAATGCATCTTTGGGGGGCTCACTAGATGCAGGTTATATAAAATTATGTCAAGAAACTGTTCAGCTTTTTGTACGATATGTGTATGATTATGATAAAATAGTGTCCTTGCATAAGTAAGTTAAAGAAACTGTTTATTATACATAGAAAAGTAATGAAATATGAAATAAACACTTGAAAGAACCTAAGCTGGGAATCAAAGCAGTTAAAATGCCATAAGTGGCATAGATCCAGTGCACATACACAGTGGGATGTTACCAGAAATTGTAGTTGTGCAATAATGATTGATGGCAGACCATGATCACAGTAAATCAGAATTTACAATATGTGGGAAAATAATGTATTGTTTATATTGGGCTTTGGCTTGAACCAGAGAAAATATTCATTAAATGCAGGAACATTGCATAAGTTTTTTACATGGTAGTTTAGTTTGTTGAGGCACTATGCTATAAGCCAGAAGATCACACGGGGTTCAGTTCCTGAATTTTTGGATTGATTGATTTTTGGATTCTTCCAGCCGCAATATGGCCCTGGGGTCGGTCGATTCAGCCCCTAACATAAACGAGTAGCAGGAATCAATCTTCCTGGGAGTAAAGGGCGGCTGACGCGTATGGCTGACAATATTACTGCCATCTCTGAGCCAATTGGCTAGAAAATGTGGGAAGCTCGACGTACCACAATCCTATGGGCCTCAGTGGCCTGTTGCAGGGAGACATTTACTTTAAAACCCACCTCCAGCTAGTGCTGAAGTCAAGAAAATATAGAGCTCTATATCCACTCCCCCATACACCTGCATGGATGGCATAGTGCTTAATTAGTTAAGCACAGGGACAACTTTACCTTATTTGCTGTATCATCAGGAGATATGTACAAGGCCCGTGGGCGGAAGTTCTGGGCTATTATCCGAGGCAGGGGGAAGTGGGGCAAAGTCAGAGAGGTCTTGAGCTTGTCAGCATGACTGTGTTGTTGACCGCAATATACAGTTATTTAAAGAAGAATTTCTGAGAACTAATTGTTCTTCATTGCTGCTCAAGGTTCTGGTGGTCATTCTTCCTCATAGTGAACAACAGATGAACTGTGTTATAAGTGTTGCGTTGGCTGGGTAGCGAGCCTGGTTCCAGCCGCTGACAAACTTATAGCAATTTTATAAATGGGTTTGTCGAGAGCTGTGTATCTTCCACGAGTGCTGTGGTTGTGAATCAGGATGAGGGTGAAGTCAGTCGACTGGGTGGAAGGTGTTCAATGTCCTCAACACAGAAGATAGGATAGAATAACAGAATTTATTGTAGCTTCTTGTGACTACATGCCATATCAAGCCAAGACTCGATGGCCGACCTCCTACTACTGGCACTACTGTAATACTACTGTCCTCCTGCGACCGCGTTACAAACTTATAATATACAATGCGGTCTCAAGAGGGTCGTGGTGATGTTTACACAGGTGGCATGATGCGTGTGTTCCAAGTCCATCCACGCATGATGTCATCAGTTGTCTTAGAGAGGGCAAGTTGTCCCCTCAACTAATAATAACAGAACCCAGGACACACATGCCTCACTGGAAATAGCCTACTTACTTGGAGAGATAAAACATTTCTCCCCTCTGTTAATACAAGTCAAACACCTGTTTCCTCCATCAGCAAATGCAGCTGTGCTATATTTGAGAATAACCTGCTATGCGTGGGTGTCAGGAAATCCGCTATTATACCAAGTACATTAGCACATCTTAAATTTTGCATTTTCTTACATTAGTATTCATCACCGTCAAGACCAAGGTGCCAGATGTGGCCTACCTGTGAATATTGTCATTGTTACTATTAGTATTAAGTCATACATATCATATTATAAAGAAAATGCCTAATATCAATGATCTCAAAAAGGACAAGAGTTCGATCCTCACGACAACTGCTAGGAGACTCGCCATTAGAAAGGTTAGTGTCTTCTGAGCTGCTAAATTCTACGTATGTCCAGGTCTTTGAGTTTTCAAGATAGAAGTGAGAAAAAGTCATGATATCAAACTCTGACTTTTCAGTCCCACACTTTGAAAATGTTCCTGCAAGTGCTTTTGCTTTTTTGTGCAGTAGTGTGGAACATGTCAACAAATTCTCTCTCCTCCTTTCTCTGCCCATATTGTGCCTTTCTTGAGTTTTATATGTGGTGTTAGTGTCTGATACCGAAGGAGATAGGTAGTGAGTGTAGTTTAGTGACATTGTGAAGAAGTGGCTAATGTTGTTTGGTTGTGATTACAGTCAAATAACTATTGGTATAGTAGAGAAATCTCTCATTTTTGTCTCAAACTGACAGTCAGTTCCCATTCATGCAAACTTCAATGTCATGTAAAAAGTCTTGTAGGTAGAGAAGTCAGGTCAGATTCTGAGAAGATCAGCTTGCTTGACGAATATGTTATAGCTGCAGTTGGAGTGTAGCAACCCCCAGTACAAGAATTGAGGGCAGGGGGGTTATCAGCTATAAATGTAATTATGTGAGGATTAATATAATTGTAAGCATCTCTTGACAGGTCTGAAGAGACATCAGTAAAGAGATTGCTGTTGTCCTAACCAATAAAGGATGTCGTCATTCATTCATTTTATTTTGCATTCGTAATTGCTGCAACAGTATAACACTTGAACAAGTCACATGCACCATTCTTGAAATCCTTTTGGCCAAATGCCTAAAGGATTAGAAGAATTTGTAAACAATAAATAATCTTGATATGGTTAACCTGTAATTAAAATATAACACAGACTATCATCAAACCAGATAAATAATAATCAAATTAGATACAATGTGTAAATGAAAATGCAAACCCACTTTATGAGTCTATTGAGAGAATTTTAAAGAGTATTACAGTAAATCAAAGAGTCATACATATGACTGATCAGTGATCACATTAAGATACTACAAGCAACCATATGTTGTCTGTTTCAAATGTCAGACTACAGACATAGTTTATGTTCCTTGGAGGATATTTGGGTGTAGCCCTATAGAAATGATAAAGATTACAGACAAATGTTTCAGAGGAAGGTTTTATGAATGATTATGAAACGTCTGTAATCTGTACTATTTTCACATGGTATTATTGTATGACATTCATGAGGCCTTTATCTTCAGAGAGCAGCCAAGAAATGTCTCTATTCTCTTTGCACAGGAACCACCAGGGGTCACACTGGTTCTATGAGGTGTGTCAGATATTGAGACTGTACTTAATTAATTGAGCACAAGGCAATGAAGATGTGTGGGGGTGAAGAGTTATAGTGCCACCGCTGCTAGCCTCAGCACTAGGTGGAGGTGAGTGGTTGCTTCTTCATGCCATGGCCACTTTTCACCTCTGGTGCCCTTTGAATAGGAGGCTGGGAGGGCCTCAGAACCCCCCTGACAGGATGTGCTCTACACCACACACCTCTTCATGTAATTTTTATGTTTCTAATATCCAGGTTGGCTGTCAGACTCAAGTTGATACCTTCTTCCTCCAGAAAATACTTCAGGGTCATTCCATGTGAAGTCATCCAGATAGGTCCCTTGAACATTTTTAAAGAAAATTATATTTTCTACACTTATTTCTACATATTTTCACACTTCAAAAATGTCTTTAAAAATACATATACGGGGTGTTTCACGACTTTAGGGAATAACTCCCAAGAGGTGATTTCCTATGTCTCTGCGAACAAAAAAGTTCATATAAACATGTGTCCGATTTTGGACGGTTATGGAGTTATGACCGTTTTAAACTCAGAATAGAAGGTAACGATTACTGACAATAAACGGAACAAAATAATAAACCAGCATAATACATGATACATTTAAAGTATGAATGTAAAGTTANATATATATATATATATATCAGTCATTAAGACTCCACATTGGAGGATAGCAACCAGTCTTTACATAAAGTATGGCAAAATATTTGTCATTTTGATTGAAATATTGTTACTGTTTTGCCATTAATAAATGTGCATGTTATAGTAATTATACTTGACGTTTCTGTGCATACGTTCTGGCTGTCTTTACACATTTCAGCCTCCATTTGTCATAATTCATAAAGACCAGTTAATTTCCTCATGTTCGCCAACGGTTGTACCTATTTTAGTATTGTGTTAGGTATTTATACCCCTTGATTGTGGCATTATACTACAAGCCGGAAGGTCGCGGGTTCAAATCCCGATGAGGTCATTGGATTTTTCAATTGACCTAATCCTTCGAGCCGCACTATGGCCCTGGGATCGACTCAGCCTCTAACAGAAATGGGTACCAGGAATATTCTTGGTTGTAAAGGGCGGCCGGCGCGTAGGGCTGATGAACTTGCAGCCGTCTATGAGCCGGTTGTGTAGAAAATGTGGGAGTCTCGATGTCTCATAACCGTATGGGCCTCCATGGCCTGTTACAGAGAAACCTTTACTTTTTTATATTTATACATCTTGCAAAAAATCTGTGAACGAAACTTAATTTTAGACTACATTCTGGTACAGAATGGTCACATTATATTTTGACGTAAATATATTAAAATGGTGTCGTGTAGTAAGGTAAGAGTTCCCCGACATTTTGAATACCTCCATCATCAGGGTCGAGGTGTAAGTTTGCTAATGGCTTGTTGCTTCTTTAGCCTTATCTTCGATGCTTAAGATGGAGGCACTACGATATTCCGAAACGGCTTTGGCTTTCTACCGGACTACACGGCGTCACATTCCAGAACATAGTACTCTTCACAATCACTGCTGCGAGAACCTCAAATTCAATGTTTTTTTTTATTGCTAGTGAAGTGGGGTGACAGGAGGTTGGAGAAAACTGCATAATGAGGAGCTTCATAACTTGTACTCTTCTTGAAGTATAATTAGAATGATCAAGTCAAGGAGGATGAGGTGGGCAGGGCATGTAGCACGAATGGGGGAGGCGAGGAATGCATATAGGATATTGGTAGGATAGCCAGAAGGAAAGAGACCACAGGGAAGACCAAGGTGTAGGTGGGTGGAGAATATTGGAATGGATCTTAGATAGATAGGATGGGATGGTGTGGATTGAATAGAACTGGCTCATTATAGGGACCAGTGGAGGGCTCTTGTGAACACGATAATGAACATTCGGGTTCCATAAAATGCTGGAAAATTCTTGTGTAGCTGCAGAATTGGCGGCTCCTCCAGAAGGGCTCAGCTCCATGACTAAGTAAGTAAGTAAGTAATTAAGTGGGGTGGGACTAAGTCCCTTGTACTGCGGCCACTTCTGGCCTAGTGTACCAGCCCCAGATGATAGGTGAGGGTGATTGTGGAGCAATTGGTGAATGAAGATTGGCAGGGGAGACCGAAGTACTCGGAGAAAACCTGCCCCAGCGCCACGTTGTCCACAAATTCCACTTGACCAGACCCGGGATCGAACCTGGGCCGCCGCGAAGGGAAGCCAGCGACTAACCGCTTGAGCTATGGCCCTTTATTTGTGAAGTAAAATTAAAACTGTCCCCGTGCTTAATTAATTAAGACGTGTGGGGGAGTGGAGGTATCGGTTCACTATTCGTTACCCAGGTACTAGCTAGAGGTGAGTGGTTAGCTTCACGCCCAGGCCGCTTTACCCCAGTGGAAAGAATTTCCGCTACCTATTGAGTAGGAGACTGCGTGGGCAGCAGAGCTGGTCTGGACGCTGTGGAGTAATGTCTCTTGCGCCTTCCGGGAATTGAACGTCGGTCGCCCAGCCGGCAATCCGTCGTTATATCCACCGCGCTATGTTGACTGCACCTAAGTAACACGACCCTTAAAAATATCCAAACGGAAAATGTGACGGGATTTTAGTGCAGGTTTACCGTGACGCATCTGGTTGTTGTCGTCAGATTGTTTGGGCGCTGCTATTTGGGGACGGACGGACAAGAGGAAATCAACAGGTGGTTCTAAAGTGCACCTAGCAAGGTCCGTGAATCTGGCTTGATACTAACGGCCCTCTCTTGCGCCGTAACAAGCGTGCAGAAGGGAAATGGTGACGCAGGTGCTCCCGACCTCTCCCAAAGCAAAGTGTCCCGTGACGTTCTGATCCTGTGGAGGTGTGATCACTCGCTGTTGTGCGAGGGCACACTTATGTGGGAAATAGTGCATCCTTGTGTCCTTGGCCAAACAGGATAAATATGCACATTGAAGTGATAATTCGAAATAATTCTGTGGTAACAGGGTTCCCCATCCGTGGCTTCTGTCAGCGCTCTGTATTGACTTGCTTAAAGAGTTCCCTGTCACGGAACTCGAAGGCTGCTTGATCATAACCATATTCCAATATTGCAAGCCAAGATGCAGTTTTATCAACCTGAAATTCTTTCTTTGTTTACCCGTACGGTGTTGGTGACTTCCTGGCCATTCCATTCACATGACGGTTTTGCCTCGAAATATTCTGCGCTGTGGTGAAACAAAATTCGCTTAGGAAACACAGAATTAGGTTCCATTTGCACATTGTAACCCTATAACGTCATCTGGAGCCGTGTTTTGACAACGTAATCGTCTCTGAAATCCTCTTGGCCTTAAACAAGAGCCACGAATGCAACACTGTACCTTGCATAATCCATAGGACTTCGGTAACCTATGAAATAAGAAGGCGAAAAATTAAAATTGACAGCAGAAAGGTACCGAGCAGATTGGCATAGCGGTAACGCTTCAGGTAGGCCGCACACCAGCATGCGTCAAGACATGTAACAGTCGAGACACGATGTCTGCGACATGATGCAAAGAAAGAAGCACAGTTGAAACGAATGAGATTATGAAAACCGCCGCACACCGGTCTGAATCATGATGCTGACGAATCACGAATGAAGCAAGACTGCGTCTTTTGTCCTATTTCCTGTTGCTTGTCTCGATGCAGTTGGTGTGCGGCCGCCCTTTGACTCGCATTCAGGAGGTTCTTGGTTCGAATCTCAGCCCAGATATCTCGTATGCTGATTTTCGTGGTTTTAGTCAAATTTTCCAGGCAAATGAGCTGTAGCCTCGTAGTGAATGTAGCGCTCAGTAATCTGGAGATCGTTACGTCATTGTTACAAAGTTACTAGATCTTGTTCTTAACATGAGATGGGATATCCAGAATTCCATACCAAGCTCTCACTGAACGCACAGGGCGTTTCTTCCGTAAGGGTTCCTACTCGAGGGGTGACGTACCCGTGAAGAAGTTTTTACAAATTACCACATGAAGAGTAAGATTTTCTGGGTTGTAACGCCGTGTAGTTGAGAGACGAACGATTTTAAAGAACATATCACCTTCATCTTCAAGGTCGAAGAGTAAGCTACGCAAGGAAGAAGCTTGCCGCTTACTGGTTTCGTGCTTGGCTTAACTTTTTACCCTGACGATGGAGGCGATAAGTTCGTTCGAAGCGTTGACCTCCGAACTACACCGTGTTACAACGCAGAAGACCACATTCATCGTTGCTACCGCAATGAAAACCCAAAAATCCAACAAAAATTTCCACATGATTTAATACTCAGTAAGTGGCACCACTGAGCTAACCTGTTCGGTACCGTGTGGCTGAATGTCCATGGAAAACAGTCGCCTTCTGCAGTGCGATTATGTTCTAGACAGATCACCAGCAGCAGTGCAAAGTGTGAACTGGACACAGCTTGAAGTTGAGTAGTCACCGAAGCCGTGTGAAATTTCAGGTTTGGTGATTCTTGGCTTCTTTAATGTTACGTGGTGATCTCTGAATTATCATTAATTGGAAAATGGTTTCGAAGTAAGTGTTATCTCTTTTAGGGTAGCAGAGCACCGCATTCCTGGATGGGTCGATAAATACCACAGATGATTCGGTTACAATAGCCAGACTTATACCCTGAAAATGGTGGCGACACATTCCTCCGAATTAGCTGTAAACATGTACCAGAAGAGAACGCTGGCGAGTGATACTCATGTGTTGTGATGAATTATAGAACGATGCGTAACCGCTTCATGGACACTACCAAGTATACTCGTTGCTTCAGACAGCCTCATGCCTGTGGCCATCTGAATTATAGTGCTGAATTACTCACCATAAAGAGCGCCTTCATAATTTGTTTTCTTTGCCAAATATTATTAGTCTCGTCAAATCATGAAAGATGGAATTGGAGGGGCGTGTAGCACGCGTGGGAAGAAGATAATTGCATAGAAAATGATGGTTGTGAATGGTTAAGAAAACAAATTACTTGAAAGACCTAATTGTAGATGCGTGGGTGATATTAAAATTAGTCTGAAATTAGGGTGCGAATGTGTGTGGACTGTATTCATTTGACTCACCACAGAGACAAGTGGCAGGCTCTTGTGAACACGCTTATGAACGTTCTGGTCCCACAGAGTACATGGAATTTGTTGACTAGCTGAGCACCTACAAGCTCCTTGAGAAGGATTCTACTGTTTGGAAGTATGAGTAATTAAGGCGGGCTGTTAAGAACAAGGTAATGAACCGTGTGATTCCATAAAATGCAGGCAGTTTCTGTCCTGAGAAACTATTAGTCACTATAGGATCCTGACGATGGTGTATAACACACAGAGATATTGGGTTTTCGGACTTTATCCATCATCCTGGTTTTTAAGATAACTAAGAAAAACACAACGTTTTGGAAACTGGATCTGTTTCCTTCCTCAGGTGAGGGAAAAAAACACCTATTCTGTTGGGCCCCTCAATCATGGGGCCGATGTCACAATACACAAAGGTTATAAACACCTTAGGCCAGGCTAAGTCCATATAAATAACAAGGTGTCACCCCCCCCTCCTCACCAAAAACAGAAACAGATCTAGTTTTTGAAAAGGTATGTTCTATAGTTCTTTTTAACACTGGACAATGAACAAAGTACAAAAACCTAGCAATTCTGAGTTATATTTGCTACCAATTTTAAACTCTGAATTTTTGTGCATGAAGCTCAAGTTCAGTGACCTTTTTTCTTCTCCAGTTAAGGTACAGGCTTCTACATCACGTTCAGAATCTCACTGTCGTTCTGCCCCATCTTCTTTCTCATTCACATTTCTTATTCCCCAAGGCCTCTACTGTTATTTGTCTCTTCATCAATCCTATGCACACTCTATTCTGTCTTACGGTATTATCTTCTGGGGTAATTCTTATCTCAGTGACAGTATTTTTAAAATTCAAAAAAGAATAATAAGAGTTATTACTAGTTCAGGTAGTAGGTACGACTCATGCCGTGAATTATTTAAAAAATTACAAATATTGCCACTTCAGCCTCAATACATATTCTCACTACTTGTCTTTGTCATCAAGAACAGAAGTTGCTTTATATCTAATTCTGATATTCATGATATTAATACTCATTACAACCACAATTTACACTTGCCTTCTACAAATCTATCATCTGTACAGAAAGGAGTACTCTTTTCTGGAAGTAAGATTTATAACCACTTACCATTAAATATTAAAATGCTATCTAAAGATATTAAGCATTTCAAATCTTCATTA